CTGGTACCGAGGCAGGAGGCTGATGGCCTTCTGGTGACTCCTCATCACGAGGAAAGTGACGAGCACGCCGACTCAGGATCAAGTGAAAACGCAGAGCCGAGGCTGAAGAAGAGCCGTCAGTGTAACGAGTCAGAGAGTCAGGGTGACACAGACACAGATGAAAACTCTGTAAAACACAACACTGGTAGAAAACCCCGAAAGTCTGGAATGAAGGAACGTCACAGAACCCAAACAGGTGAGAAGCCTTATTCCTGTAAAAAGTGTGATAAGAGTTTCTGCTTTAACGCGGCCTACAGAGTCCACCTGAGGAGCCACACCGGTGAGAGGCCGTATTCTTGTGAAACCTGCGGAAAAACTTTCACGAGAAGCGACAGATTGTCTCTGCACATGAGAACGCACACCGGAGAGAAGCCGTACCTCTGCAACACGTGTGGGAACAGATTTACAGACCCGTCGGCGTTCAGACGCCACACGACGATCCACACGGACGAGAAGCTGCATGCTTGTGACAAATGCGGCAAAAGTTTCACACATGTTAACAAGTTGTTGTTCCACATGAGAACTCACACAGGCGAGAAGCCGTACCTCTGTAACCTCTGCGGGAACAGCTTTATCGACAAATCCAATTTAAAACGGCACTTTAGAATCCACACGGGTGAGAAGCCTTATTCCTGCAAGGTCTGCGGCAAAGAGGTGGCCCACAGCACGACCTTAAAAGTCCACATGAGAATCCACACAGGCGAGAGGCCGTTTGTCTGCAGCACCTGCGGGAACAGATTTATTAACAGCTCGAATCTGAAGCTCCACATGAAAGCTCACACGACGTCAGAGTCCTGAAACATCTCTAAGGAAAGAAAAATGATCAGGGAGGAGAAACTTGAAGAAGCCTGGAAGGATTTCTGAAGATTAACAATCAGGCCTTCAAAATTAAAGCACCTTTAGATTATGCTTCAGCGGTGGTGGGAGTTTATTGCACGATGTACGCGGTGACTCTCACAGAAGCACTTTGCACTGTTACACTGTTGGTTGCAACGTGAGTTCTGTGTCTCACTTTGCATCTATTTACATTTTGGAAAAGTTACTGACACCCAGTTAGCTGTTGGGTTTGTTTTTACTGGATGTACCGTCAATTATCGCTGAAGTGATCCTGAAGAACTCTCAGAAACGTGAGGTATCTATTACACAACAAGGTCTCCAAACTCCATGTTTCTGTCGTCAGTGTGCTTTGTGAAGGTAAACCAGGGTTTAAGACTTGAGGTTGAATGTTTATTTATATTTTTATTAATGACATTTTGCACATGTATCCACCCAGTTTTAGTCGCTCTGTGTTTATCTGGATGACTTAAGCTGGAATGTTTTGTTCTTTTACTGATTTCTAGTTGAGTGTGAAGTGGGAAACTTTTCCTCATGTTGATCTTGAGACTTTTGTCTAAAATGTTCAGTGTCAGTGATTCATGTTGAATCCCATCTGAACAGAAAACGACTGCACTTGTTGGCCAAGTAATCACATGACTACTTTTGTTTTAAGGCACTTTAACATGCTGCCAGTGCCTCCTTGTTTATGGTTTTCACCATTTTTCTGTTTTTATACTTTAATAAACAGCCTAAAAGAAATATCTTGTGTATGTTCTCCTTATTAGAACAGAGGTTTGATGTGTGGGTATGTGGATGGATTACCATTCTGTTGTTAACTGGTGCATCTCATCAACCTTCTGCTGATGGTTTTAGCTTTTCCTGAACAATGTAGAGGTGATCCTTCTTCTTCATTGTTCCATTTACTTTGTGTAAAGCTCCAGGTCCACTGGCAGCAGAACAGAACCAGAGCATGATGCTGCCGCCTCCATGCTTGGTGGTAGGTTTGGTGTTTTTGGAGTTAAAGGCCTCACCTTCTCTCCTCCAAACATATTACTGCTCAGTTTTTGTTCCATCTGACCACAGAACTGTCCTCCAGAAAGTTTTTTCTTGGTCCACGTGACCAGCAGCAGACCTTACTGGAGCATGAAGGTGTTGCTTCTGGAGGACGAGCTTAATTCTTGCATGGCAGCTAATCGGTCAGTTGTCATCACTTATAAG